ACATCAGCTCTTGTCGTTAGTGCTCCCAGTAGCGCTAGGAAACAGGTATTATTGCTCTCATTCGAGAGAGAAAGTAACTGAGGCACCAGGAGCTTAAACAAGATTCAAACCCAGACAAGTGACTCCAAAACCTGTTGCTTCCTGAATTTCCCACTGGTTGTGCTTTGATGTGTCCCCCAGCCAGGAGGCAGCAGGACAGAGTTTTGTCCTCTCCCACCTCTTATTTCTCAAAAGCTCTCTGCTCCCCTAGGAGCCTTGTACAACGTCCAGGCTCTCGCTGATATTTGCAGGGGTACAATGGGGGGAATCACTGTTAGAATACTAACACCTGGTGTTTTTCTGAGCCTGTGCAAAGTGTGCCTCTCAGAGGGGAGAGTCCTCAGGGGAGACTGGAAGTCTCTGGGGTCTGAAGCTGCCTTGAGCGTGGGCTGCCATGGAAGCCCTTGGTGTGTCCTCTTGCCCATCTTTCTGCTGCAGTTTATTGACTCCAGCTTTGTGAACCCGTGAGTTACATTTGCAGCATTCTGAGGCCCAAAGGGTTCCTGTAAATACTCCATGTAATTAATTATAAACAAAGCAGCCAGCCGGGAGCACAATGCCCAGATAAATCCTTAGCAAGCCTCATTGTGTGCTCTTTACCTCTCCTCTGCATTTCTATCCATCCAAGAGCTTCAAAAGTGTAATCCCCAGAGGAATTAGCCTCTAACACACTCACCATTTCCCAGGTATATTCAGACTAGAATCCGCACCCCTCATCTTTTGTATAAAACAGGATGTCTTTGGAATTCTTCTCACTGCAACAAGAGCTTTTCTGGTAGAACTAAAAATGACAAAGGCAGCATCTCCCAAGGTGTTTCTGTAGAGCATGAAGACCGCAGAGTATTAATACCTCTCATAGGAGGAGAAGGGCCTCTAGGTCAAAAATGTTGGGTAAATAATGAGCTGAACACACTTCTCTACTGCAGAACTTTCACCCTGTGGCTTTCCAGGAAGCAGAGAAGTTATGCTGTGCTTCCAGACTATTTAGACTGTGGAGTTCTTTTTAGACTGTGGAGTTCTTTTTAGACTATGGAGTTCTTCCTTCTCAAAGCAACACATCCCAGAACATACAAATTTGTGTGTGTCATGCACCCCCTTGGCAGGCCGGGGAAGCTGGGGATCCCTTCTCAGAATAACGTTTTTAAGTGCAAAAAATAAAACACATAGGATTACAAAGGAAACCATTTGTATCAAAACCAAATATCACACTCCTAAAAATATTTTGAAATATTTAAAAATGGGCATGCATTAACATATGTATTTCTTTTTTAATGGATCTATTAATTACAGGTGTTTCAAGTACTCATGGCCATAAATGATATTTCAAGATAAGATCATTCCTCGTTATTCACAAATTCTATATCTGTGAATTCGTGTACTTGCTAAAATTTATCTGTAACCCCCAAATCAATACTCATGGCACTTTTGTGGTCATTTGAGCAGTGAGAAATTTCAATCACCTGACCTGCACGTTCCCAGCTGAGGTTGAAAAAGGCAGCGCCCTGTAAAAAAAGGTGTCTTTTTCACGGTGTATTTACTGCCACATTTTGGGCATTTTTTATGCTTTTCGTTGGGGACTTCACTGTTTAAAACGTTCTCTGAGTGCAGTGCTGAAGTGCCACCTTGTGTGCTTAAGTGCAGGAGACTGTGACGCGCCTTATGAAGAAAATAGATGGGTAGTTAAGCTTCATTTAGATGTGAGTTGTCGTGCTGTTGGCTGTGACTTCAACATTAATTAATCAACTATAAATTAAATAAGGTGTCTTTAAACAAAAACCACACATTAAAAGAAGATTGTGTATTGATTGGTTGATGATAACGTTGTGACCAGAGGCTCACAGGAATGCAAGCCCGTTTTTCCGCTAGGCGCAGTGGTTCAGCGTTTGCTAACTCGGTGTTCAAGGTGACTATAGCACATAACTGCCCTGAGTAATGAGAACTGACTGTATCTGCAACAAATGTAACGTGATGTGAAAATATCTGTGACAGACAGCTATGAATACAGTTGCAAACATACAGTGTTTTGTAAAAAAATACAGTGTTTTGTTGCCTATGTTCATAATTAAAGGCAATGGTGAATTTTACTTAGAGGGTAGTAAAGACAATTTTTCCTATTCAAGTTCATAGGCACTCTTAATTCTGGGAGAGGGTGGTTCCCACAGATTACAGTTCAGAATCCCTTCTTTAGTGGGACTAACTCAGGAGAGGGTAAAGTGGGGTAGCTGGTGAAAATTCCTGGGGGCTCCAGTCCCTGCTATGTTGTGGGTCAATACAAGTCTCAGATAAGATTTTTTAGCTGATTTGCTCTTGCTGGGGGGTCTGAAATATTTTTCCACCAGGTCCTGAACCCAAAAGGCTCTATGATAGAAGTTCTTGACAATTATTCATGTGGAAAATGAGGAGTCCCATTCCAATAGCAAAGGGTAAGAGAGGTCTTTAATCTGAAAATAGGAGAAACAAATGACAATATAGTATTGGGGCGTTTAGATGAAAATCATGTCTTCTGACCAAGGGTGCCCAGAAAGGAAAGCATCCCCTGTGTTGATTGCTTTTCTTTCTTAACCTTCACACCACAAGGAGTATGATTCAACGGGGCTAATTCAAATGTGTCAAAAACACGCTTCTTTTTTTCCCCTAAATAGCAAGATATAAGGAAGTGTGCCCGGGAGAGCAACTCTAATAGTCATTCATTCATTCAATCAGTACTACTTACTGAGCACCTCTCATGGGCCAGGCATTGCTGTAGGGCTGTTGATACAGGAGTGAACCTGACTGGCCTGGTTCTCATCTCCTGGAGTTTCTCTTCAGGTTCTGGCTCTTCTCTCCAGGACACCAGTCCAGGAACTGGGGAAGGGGATGGAGAGGGGTGCAAGCCACCCCAAGAAAGCCCTTCAGGTGCCTGTCAAAGGACAGCACTCATACACTATGATTCTGAAAAACCAGAGGCTGAAGACAGTAGCTCAAGGGGCACCAGTGCAGAAATATGGGATAGAAACTGTCCCCCATGGCTCTACCATAAATTCTGGACACTCAGATGCTATCAGAAGTATATACAACACCTTACAGAGACAGAATATCCCCAAGCCAGAGAGAAAGACATGGTTGAATCTCAAAGAAAGAACATGTCTGGATGGGAGTATAGAAAATGGAGGCAGAAGTGGACAGGCCTCACCCATGCGCTCCCAATCCAGGGAAGTGGGCCTGGCCTGGGACTCCAGTTCTTGTGGAGACAATGGTGATACCTAGTATTTCGTGCAGCATTAGTGTTTTATACAAAAATTGAGATGGGAGCACCATCTTCTCCCACCCTTTGATTTCTTGGTGCTTTGCCCCAGGAATGAGGTCAGGGCTCAGAACCCAGGCACATCCATCTTCCCATCTGAACCTGTTCAGGTGGAGAATGAGGAAGATGGAACTGGTTAAATTATCCCCAAGGTGGGGGGTTCAGTCTTAAGAGAAATTAAACAGGAAAAAGTGGCAGGGACAGAGATGACATCTAGGGTGGGAAACGGGAGGTGGTCGGGCTCGGGAGGAACCAACCTGGGAACCCCCTCCCTGTACCTTCCAAATCTCCCTAGACACTCCCTCTAGTTTCCCCCAACTTCTAAAATAACTCTATTCCTTCAGGGCCTTCTGGAAATAGATCAGGGCCTAAAATGAATTCTCCGTCCCCCCAACAACATCAAAAGCAATACAAGATTATTGACTTCACTAGTACTCGGAAATAAAAATTAAAATAGCAATAACTTGGAAGCATTTTAAACGGGGGGATTGAATAGAATTTTCTAAAGGAATACAAAAGTTTAGTGCACTGTTCTCTGGGTATATTTTGAGACTGAATGATTAAGATTTCAGATTAAAAAAACAATAACAAAACAACACTACAACAAGTATTGGTATTTTAGTCCTTAGAAATACGATGGGATGTTGGAACACCAAAACCAGCAGGAGGTGGATATACCAGGTGTCCACAGCCCCACACCTCCACACCTCACACCTTCAGTCTATACTCTGAGTTTGTATTTCCTGGTTGAAACAAGCAGCCTCCTGGGGGCTTGTTGGTCCTCTGTTGATCTGCCTCCTGGGGACATGCGCTGGTCATGCTGAGCCAAGGATTCTGCCCAGGTGACAGAAATGAATGGGTTCACCACATTTTAAGTGTGTTGGCCCCCAAACTGAAGCTCACACAAATCTGGCCAGTTCGTCTTGTGAGTAGAGGTGGATTTACCATAAGTCCAAGAAAGATTAAATTTTAGGGTTCCTTCCAAAGCCCTGGAAGGGGCCCCAACAATGAGTTCACAGGGTCCTATGCTTTGTAAAATTTGCAAAAGTAAGATATTTTAAACACTATTGCTTCCTCTCCATCACAGTTTCCCTTATATCCAGTGGCTCTGGAAAAGCCATGGGAATTTTGGGGAAGTTGAAATGGAGATCTGTTTAGGCTGGATTTAGGTTGGACTATTTATGTGGTTAGCTGTCATTTCTGTGCACAGTTAAGGTACCGCTAGCCATCCTGGTGCAGGAAAGGGCTTCCAGGTACGCCCCTGTTGTCCACCAGCACCCTGGCAAAGGTTCAGGGCTAGTGGTCAGATCATAGTAGGAGAGAGTGTCCTACAGCTCCCAGCACAGGAAGTGTGTGGATCGTGGAGGAGAAACAAGGTGTGAAATGCGCAAAGCCAGAAGCTAGTCTGTGGTAAGGTCTTCCAATCATTGATACGATGAGTGGGAGATTTGGTTCATGCTGGTGCCTAGCCAAAATAGAAGTATTAATATCTCCCTATCAGGAATAAATAAATAAATTTAAAAGTAATAAAATAATAAAGCATACACAATTATACACACACTTATTATAATTTTGTCTTTACTGAGACAAAGATTTGGGTGCCAGTGGTTTATTTGGGAAGCCATCCCCAAAAGTGGGAAAGGGGAAGTGAAGAGAGTGACACTAGGCTTTTAAGGGGGAGAAAAGCACTTTGCAAAGATGCTGCTGAAGAGGGGCCTGTGAGCTTGTGACACAGCCGCTCCCATAACCGTTTCTTGAATGAGTTTACCCAAGTTTCTGCCTTCCTGAGCTCCCCAGGAGCAGGTGTCCCTGAGGACTTAGTGCCCCCCTTGGTCTCCAAACACCTGCTCAATCTGGAGGTTGAATGGATTCTCCTTTCCCAGGACCTGGGGCCACTGGAGCTGCACCTTCTTCCAGAAGCGATCTGCCAACAGCTGTAAAGCCACCTGCAAGAGAGAACCCAAAGGAGGACTAAAAGAGAAATTAAAACAAAGTAAAGAAGTTACCAGCAAGATTTACTCTATTCCTTGTGCAGTGGACAAACTCTAGGATGGTTCCCCAGGATTCCTACCTTTGGGTCTTTGTATGATCCCCTTCCCTTGATGTGGATGGAACCTATCACTTGGTTCTAAGCAATAGAACATGGTAAAGGTGAAAGAATGTCCCTTCGGTGATTATGTTACATTATCTAAGGCTCTGCTTTGCTGGCAGACTTGCTCTGGAGACTCGCTGATGGGCTGATGATGTAAGAAGCCATGCTGGAAAGCCCACATGGCAGGGAACAGAGGGTGGCCTCCAGCTGACATCTAGTAAGGAGTTGGGTCTTCAGTCCTACAACCACAAGGAGATAAATTCTGCTAACAACTCAAGTGACTCTGAAATCAAATCTTCCCCAGTTGAGTCTCCTGGTGAGAATGTAGATTTTAGCCTCTGAGACTCTAAGTAGAGAACCCAACTAAACTATGCCAGCACTCCTGACCCACAGGAACTGTGAGACAACAAGTGTGTATTGTATTAAGCTGCTACATTTGTGGTAATTTGTTATTTAGTAACAGACAGCAAATACGCTTTCTCAGAAAGGCATTTATTCACTTACCTGTGGATAGCTAACACTTACTGCAGGCTTAAGGCTTGGGTTTTGGAGGTGAACAGAAGGAATCCTTCCTTGAAGGAACTCCCAGCCTAGTGAGGGACCCAGACATGCAGAATGACACCACCAAACCCACAGGGAGGACTGTGAGGGATGCACACGGCTGGAAGGGGAAGAGGTGGCAACTCTGCTGGGTGCGAAGAAAGGATAGGTCCTCTCTGAAGAGTGTGGTGGCTGAGCTGAAGTTTCAAGGAGGAATTCACCAGATGGATCATGAGGAAGGCAGGGTATGTGGTAGAGGACACAGCACATGCAGAAGCTTAGAGATGTGGAAGAGAAAGTCATGGAGGGGGACTATGGGTGCCTGGGAGATGAAGCTGAACCGGTCCCCGTGCAGGGCTGGGCTCCTGAAGGAGGCTGTGGGCACAGAGAGAGTGGTTGGAGTGCCAGGCTGTGGAATGTACGGGCTTAATGCACAATAGGCTTGTCCCTCTCTCTCTTGGCCTGATGCCCACTCTCTGGTTGCATTGTTGTATGTCCCTTTAGTCACAGTGGCAGCAGGATCCATTCTTGGTTGTTTGGTCCTCTGGCTTGTCATTAACATGCCTCTGATGAGGAGTCTTTCTCTGCAGATAATGCCCTCATTTAGCAAATGGGCCCTGGACAGGCCTTCAGACCCCAGATGGCTACATCTCCATGGGAGGGGGGTGTGGGGGGGTTAATGCTGACTGATAGAGAAACGTGACTGCTGAAGGCCTCAGAGGGGGACACATTGTTCAGGGCAGATGCTCAGGGATGTCCCTGACTTTATACAGAAGCACGTGGACATTGTCTTCAAAGGGCACATGCTGTTCATCATTCCAACAAGCGGTGCAGCCAGCTCCTGTGTGATGCTGGCCAGCCCTCTTCAGCCTTCTTCTCTGGGCTGAAATCCTCTCATTTGCAAAATGAATAAATGATCTAAAGACTCTTCTGGGTCTAAATTGTGTGTAAGATTTTAGCAGTTGTTAGAAAAAAATAGAACTGGTTGAGTCGATACCTTAAATATCCCCAGTATTTTAATATGCTCCTGAGCCTTCTGAGGTGGACCCCAAATTCCATCCATCCAACAATGTAATCTTGATCATATCCATGTGGTGTCTAACACACATACACACCCCACTTGCCACCAACACACACAACACGTACCACATACCACACACACACACACACACCTCTCAGACCTAAAGAGGCTGATTGTCAAGCCAGCACGTTTCCAGGAACCCTTCCAGGAAGGGTCTGGTCATCTCTCACACTATAAGCAGTCACGTCTTCAAAAACAGAGCACTGATTTTGGGCTGCTTTTCCTGCTACTTCTCAACAAAGTAGGCTGCTTCCAAGTCTGTGGAAAATTACTGGTTCTTCTTTTTTGTTTTTTGCCTTTCACTTCGATATACCTAAGCAGTCTTCCTAACAATTATGTGGTATCAATTCATTTGTGGTCATTTATTTCCCAATGTGAATTAATAAAGGAGGAGACGGGGGTGAGGATAAGCAGAGGAAAGTTAAAATAAGAGCTGAGATTTGAGCATGTGGTAACTATTTGGTTTGAAAGCAATTAGTTGGCTATCACTCTAATGGAGACTAAAATATTCATGTGTGCATTGCCAATATTTTGGATCTAAAATGAGAATGGTATTGTTACTACTAAACTAGATACTTGTGATAAAATGACCTACTATAATTATTCATTCGTCTGAGAAACATTTATTGAGCACCTATTGTGAGCTTTTTATAACCAACCTCCTCTTGTAACTCCCATGATGCTCTGCACAGGGCAAGGCCCAGTCATCCTCATTACTCCAAGCGAGGTGTTCCTTGAACACAAATATCTTTTGTGCTTCCCTTTTCACAATTAAAAATGTTAAAGCAATATCTATTCATTTGGGAAAAAATTAAAGGACAATTAAGCAAAAAGAAAAACAGAATAAAATTTATCTTAATTATAATAGAGATAGTCACTGTTAACATTGAGCCTTTCTGAGGCACACACACATGCACACACACATACATTTGATCCCTCTGTAAATGTTTTATAATCTGCTCTTTTGGAGGTATAATTTACACACAGTAAAATGAACTCTTTTTGGTAAACAGTTCCATGAGTGTTGACAAATGCATTCAGTTGAGTAATCATCGCAACAATCTCTAATCTGCTTTTTATTTACTTTGCTCTATATTACAAACATATTTCTTTGCCACTAAAAGTAGATCTGTATCGTTTTTATTTGCGGCATGATATTCCATCAGATACGTGCAAGCTAATTTATTTCACCAATGCATTTTTTTCGCACACATCTCCCTAACATTTGTCCTCAGGACAGGGGTGGAGACAGTTTCCTGTTGTCAGTGTGCCCAACATCTGCAGCCCAGGAGGGGTTCACAGGCTGCCTCATTTACTAACCCTACTAGACATGCGCACGGAAAGAAATCTGGTCCAGCAGAACGCTAGGGAATGTGGAGTTCTGGTTAAGTGGAATATTCTGGTTAACAGGGTTAGGTCCTTCCTTGTCTCTTCCTTTGCAGTTGATTCAGCTGCCTGAGCTCTTGCAGGGCCCCAGCTGCAGAGCCCAGATGGTTGCCACACACTGGCGGTGCTGCTTTTGTCTAGGTGCCACTCAGTTCTAGCAGGTGTGGCCCATCCTCTGGGTAAGTCCACATCCGATGGGCACTGGTGCTGTTCTGCAGGCATCCCTGCAGCTCCAGTGCTTCTGTGGGGCGTTGCCACCCACCCATCTGTCTACTGCTGCTACTCAGAAGCACTCATGGTGGCAAAACCATGTGATGGTCATTGGTCCACTGTGAAGTTTTCTCTTTGAAACTCTCATAGAAGGGGTGACAAAGTAGGGCAACTTAACACCCCATTGTCTTATATAAGTTTTTGGTGAAGCAGCTTTTTCAGTTTTTACTTGCAGCCCCTGATCTCCCTAGGATTCAGGCATGAGTCCACAGAGAGGGGAGTTGGGGGGTAGGGACCTGGTGCCATTTCTTCATTCAGCCCTTGGTGACAGCCACCATATGGCTTCTAGAATTTCTCTCCCTTCTAATGACAATTTAAAATTGCGCCACGCTTCTTTGCCTAACCCCATTTGTGTTTATGATGAGTTCTTCACCAGGAGAGTACCGGGTCCTCCAGGAAAATATACCATGTCAGATCCAGCTCACATGCTCATGATCTGCTCACATATCCAGACATGATAGAAGCCCAGCAGTGGTCATAGCTGCACATCATCTGTGATTCCTCCACATTCCTGCTTTGTAAGCTAACTGTATGTATTTTGCTACAAAAATGGAACTCTTTAGTAAGACAATCATAAAAACAAACCCTGACCAGTAACTACATTTTTGTAATATTTTTAAAGAATAAATGCAATTCAGAGCAAGAGTATATAGATTTCACCAACAACTTAGCATGACTGATACCTTTTAAGTTGAACTCTTGCTAAATTTAACTCTGGGCTTCTACCAGACCAAAGTAAAAAATCTACTGTGAACTTATTTTTCTTGAAGGGAGAACAATTCCAGGCTGTCTTGTAAGATTGCTTTTAAACACCTGCAGGGAAGCCCTCACCACAGGGAAGGCACAGTTTTACTTCTCTGGCCTCTTAATCTGTCCAGAAACACAGTCTATTGGACCTGGTTACTTTTGGTCCCAATTAATTTTACATTTGTAAACTTACAACATGACAGTGGTGTAAGACGTATTTAAAAACATTTAAGGAAAAATGTTACATTTCCAGCTCGAGCCTGTCTGTGCTGGTTCAGGCTGCCACCACCAAAACCACTGCTGCCAGTTGATGTATAAAGCAAACTAAACAAACATGGTCCCTGATGCCTGGGAGGGCCAGCCTAAGTGACTGTTATTTGAGGGTTCCCTGGCCCAGGAGGCCCTCCCTCCTCTCTCTCCCCACTGCCAGCTTAACTGCCTTTTTTGAGGGGCTCCACCAGTCTGTCAACGACCTTGTGTCCCAGGGGCTTACATGTTGAGACAAATAAAGACCTAGAGACTGTTAACTTATTTAAAGCCAATCCACTGATTATATATCTGATGTCTGCCACCAGCAGTGTATAAGGGTCAGGTCTCAAGAAAGAAGAGGGGATTGATGTCATGGAAAATTCACTGCCTGTAGGAAGAGTTTTAAGAGGATTGGTTTGAGTTGCTACTTCCATGAGGAGAGGAGAGGAGGCTGTTTTGCAGAGAGCTTTGTTGCGCGCAGCTTCTAAGGCGGGAGGTGTTAGGAATGTTTAGCCGGGTGGTCTCAGCATAGCCAAGGAAAGCAGACTTGATGTATGTTCGTGGCTCTTGCAACGTTTTCT